AGACAAGATCAAGCAGCCTTTTTACACAATGCAGATGATTAACCCCTTAGGTTCCACAGTGAGTATAACAAACATGCTTTACTGCATATACAGACTGATTGTACTGTTGTGGGTTTAGTAACACTTTAAGTATGTCACTGAGAGTGAGGGGACATCAAAGCTGAGCTGAAGGAGTGGGATACAGGCTGTCCCCTCGGAAAGTGCTGCACCATGTGAGGAACTCTAAGTACAGTTAAACAGGTGTTGAGTCATTATAGAGTGTACTGTGCACGAAGGGTTAATTGTACCAAGAATTGTGCGTGCTTCTAAGTTGGAGCATTGCTTTAATGCAGATTTCTCATGACCTTAGCCTCTGCCTGCTTAGTTGGGCATTAGCAAGCAAAGTTCTCAATGTGTCCCCATTAGGGCATGTTAAGTCCTGCCCACAAGATGTCTTCAGGGCAGTCACAGGACTATCTTGGGCTTCTTCCCCTTTGTCTCTTCTTCAGGGATAGGGCCATGATGCCCATTCATTCATAGTATTTTCTCAGTCTTCAAGGTTCAATGATGTCGGGTATTATTAAACCTAGAAAACTGAAGATATCTTGTAGTGGAATGGAAGCACTGTGGGAAGCTTGGAAATTAAGGAGAGTATTGCAGCCTGAGCATTTTACATCTTTTTAATTGAACTGCTGGTCAATTAAAAAAAAAAAAAAGCCTGTAATTCTGCATTATCAATTTAAAGATGACTTTTGGTAGATCACCATTCCATTTCATGAATTTTCTTTACAGTTTTATTCTAGATCTAACTTTCCTGAGCTGTAAGGAAACAAGCATTACCTGTCATAGCAAAAGCAGCTGCCTAGCAATAATTTAGCAGCTAGGCTGTGACAATTCATCCTTACGTTTTTTTTTTTACCTTTTATTCTTTTTTTTTTTTTAAGATAAGAAATAGCCTTCAGGGCCAATATTGTCACAGAGGTGCCTTGGTAATTGTAATGAATGTTTTACTGCTTGTCAATATGTTCCCTTGAGCATCTCACTATTCCCAAGGCCAGCTAAGCAACATTTTTAAGTTGGTGACTGTTTATCCTTTCAGTGAATAAACTATCCATCGAGTTGCCTGTAAATCACAGGGATGGCTTTGTAAGCGACGTCAGCTTGGTGATCTTAAATAATGTTTGCATTTAAACATACACTTAACCCCGCTTGGATAGAGAAGCATGGTTATGGCTGCAAAAGAAAAATGGTGGTAAATTTCATGATTGGTAATGGGGACTTAATAACATTTGAAGCAGGAATATTGCATTTTATGTATCGGGAGGTAAATTGAAAAATTAATAAAAATATTTTGACATCCTTCAGTTGAATTGGATTGAAGCTGGACATAAAACTGAGATAAATCATACTTTCAAGCAATTTTCTAAATACACTTCAGGTCCAGCTTTTTAACAGAAAGACAATAAAATAGTCTTCAGTCATAAATATAAGAGTGCTGCCCTGTGCAATCCTCTAATAATTACATATCAAATCAAACATACAATTATATCTCCATAAAGTCCTTTCTGATTTGTACGAAAAATAATATTATCTTCCAAATTGTGCACATGTACTATCCATGAAAATTGCGCAATTAATGTGCTGTGCTCCCCACCAATAGTCCCACACACTCACCAACTTCTGTGGACTCTTATAATTAAACAAGAGTCTAACTTGCTTAGGTGAAAAAAAACCCTGCTTCCGCTGGGTCTTGTAGTCCTCCTCCTCCTCCTCTTCCCGGCTGAATTTGCCACCAGATGTTGTTTCAATGCAGGGATTAAAAAGGTAGGATGCTCATATATAAGGAATGAAAGAAGGGGGCCACATAGTGTAATTAAATTTATCTAAAACCAAAATAAAAAGAAATGTATTGCACTCACATTAATTCAATATTAGCAAGCATAAAAAACACCAAACCAGTGAGTAACACACCGTCGTACGCTCCACCGGCCAGATATAATGTTACCACAGTCCACTCATGAAGCATTTCACACCTCCCACTAGGAGTCTTCTTCCTTTGAAGATGCCCAGTGGGAGGGGTGAAACGCGTCGGGTTGAGTGTGGTGACATTATATTCAGCTGGCGGAGCACACAATGGTGCATTATTTCCTGGTTCAGCATTTTTATGCTGGTTAATATTGGATTAATGCGAGTGCAATATATTTCTTTTTATTCTGGTTTTAAATAAATGGAATTACACTATGTGGCCCCCTTCTTTACATATAAGCATCCTACCTTTTTAATCACCACATTGAAACAACATCTGGTGGCAAGTGCAGCTGGGCGGTGGAGGACTACAAGTCCCAGCAGAATCAGGGGTTTACTTATAAGAGTCCACAGAAGTTGAGCATGTGGGACCACTGGTGGGGAGCACAGCACATCAATTGCACGATTTTAATGGATAGCACATTTGCACAATTTAGAATTTATGATTTTTTTTGCACACGTCACACAGGACTTTATTGAGTTATAAGTGTATGTTTGATTTGATCTGTAATTATTAGAGGATTGCACAGGGCAGCACTCTTATATTTATAAATGTATATTTGTGAGGGTCAGTACCCTTAATAGGAGCTGCAGCCAATTTATGAGATATTTATTTGTGATTTATTGGATTTCTTGATAATTTTCTTAGTGTAGTTTACACACTATTCACGAATAGAGTTTATAATCCTCAGCGCAGGATAAAGAATCCTTAATTAATAAAACAGTCTTGCTAAACTGTTCCTTGACAGGTTCTCTTGATCATTAAAGTGCCACTTTTCCACTGCTAGTCTGATTAACAAAGCTTCAAGTACAATTAATGGGGTCCCATGGCAAAACATTGATATTCCTTTGCTCGCTGCTCAGAAATGTAGAGGAATGAGTAAGCAGCATAAGACTATGCAAAGCATACCATGGAGAAGTCTATCATGTGAAGCTACTGCCACTCAAGAGGAAGACATTTTCCACATGGAGAGAGATACCCTGGTTGTCATGTGGACTGCCACTGTGGACATGGACTGCCATGTGGACTTACTTTGTACCAGAGAAAGCATGACTGTCCAGGAGAGAGTGCAAGAATACCAAGTAAAGGGTGACTGGCCTGAAAAGCTCTGTAGGGAAATATTCTGTTCCTCTCCAAAGTTGCTGTACAGACTCTGCAAGTTTGCAACAATTCATTGAAATCCCAAAATTAATATTCAAGTAGTGATAGCCAGAGCAACTTATAGGAAGATACAATTGACAGAGTACAGTAAAGGACCCCTCACGAGAACTCCCCTGGGAAAGCACCTTGTACCCTGTTGGCAAGACAAGGAACTCTTCCCCACATCCCTGGCCTGGAGGTTGTGGAGCACTGTGGAGGAGGGCTTCAGAATCTGGAACCTCCCTTTTAAATAAGAGGACCCCCAAATACCCGTAGTTACTAATTCAACAAAAAAATAAAAATAAAAGTAGATAAACACACACACTTTTGACAAAGTTCTTTTGAAAAAAAAAATCACACAATGTAAATCCATCATCCCTCACATCGTCCAGCAATGTGGATTCATGTCAGTCGTGATGAATGATACCTGCTGACCCTCCAAAACAAAAAAACATGACAACCCACCAACACTTCCAGTCCTGATGGAGACTCACTGAGAATAACAGCTACCCAGCTAGCAGCTGGATATAAACAAAGAGGTGGGGAATCCTGGGTGACGTAATTGATCAATGATGTCAATGGGGATCTTTAGATAGGGGTCTGGTATGAATTTTGAAGGGGACCCCATACTTTTTTTTTATCTTGCTACAGTGTGGGGCCCTCCCTGAAAAACAACAAAAACATTTTGCACTCCATGCAATAATATATACCAAACCCCATGCAAAAATAAAAAAACAAAAAGGAAAAAAAACAAAATGGGTTCTCCTAAAAACCTATACTAGTCCTTCTGGTTTTGTTTGAATTACTGTATAAGAGATATCCAATGCAAAAAAGCAAACAAAAAGACGTGTAGTACCCCAAAAATCCATACCAGACTCTAATCAAACTGTTATCTGAGCATGCAGTGAGCTAATTACCCTCCTTCCTCTCCACATGCCCTCAACATTGAGAGGGTACCTTGTAAAGGAGTCCTGTGGACAAAGCACCCTGTCCCCATGTTAACGAGAACAAGGGTCTCGTACCTACAACATTTGCCTGGTGGTTGTGGGGGTCTTTGGGAGGAGGACCTAAAAATGAGGGATCTCCCAGATACAGGCCCTTCCTGCCTGAATGGGTTAGGGATACATAGAACACCTGGTTACTCATTCACACAAAAAAAGAAAGAAAATTAAATAATCACACACCAACTTTGAGAAAGTCCTTTATTAAAAAAAAAACAACAAAAAAAAGTCCAACAAAGTAAAACTATTGTCAATCTCATTGTCCAGCAATGCAGGTCCTTAACAATAATGAAAGATGACCCTGGAGACCTGTCAAAAGAAAAAAATCTGTGACTGTGCTTGACAATCTTATCCTGACAGACTCCACATTGCAACTGACAGGTCCCAGTGGAAACAAAGTGGCCAGGAGCTGTCTGATATCATTGACCAAATATAGTCATGACCATAATTGTTCAATGACATTTTTTGGGATGATAGCTGGCTTTACAAGCCAGTAAGCAGTGTAATAATGGTTTCTAAGATGCCATTTGCTTGTGACATCTTAGCAACCAATTACACTGTGCAGCTTGCACGGTAGAAAGTGGTCATTTATTGGCTGTACTAATACTGCCAATAAATGAATGACTTCCTGTTGCAAAAGCAGCAGGATGTATGAGCTGGCTAACCATCAGAACTGTTCGGTTGAAACACAGAGAATGCAAATTTTGGGTTGAACCCTCAATTGGATCAAACCTCATTCCCTCTGCACATACACTATATTGCCAAAAGTATTGGGACACCCCTCCAAATCATTGGATTAAGGGCTGCTCCAATCACCTCCATGGCCACAGGTGTATACAATGAAACACCTATGCATGCAGACTGCTTCTACAAACATTTGTGAAAGAATGGATCACTCTCAGGAGCTCAGTGAATTCAGGCGTGGTTCCATGATAGGTTGCCACCTGTGCAATAAGTCCATCTGTGAAATGTCCTTGCTACTAAATATTCCACAGTCAACTGTTAGTGGTATTATAACAAAGTGGAAGCAACTGGGAATAACAGCAACTCAGCCACGAAGTGGTAGGCCACGTAAAATGACAGAGCGGGGTCAGCGCATGCTGAAGTGCACAGTGCCCAGAAGTCGCCAACTGTCTGCAGAGTCAGTAGCTAAAAAACTCCAAACTTTGTGTGGCCTTCAAATTAGCATAACAACAGTGCATACAAAGCTTCATAGAATGGGTTTCCATGGCCGAGCAGCTGCATCCAAGTCTGACATCAGCAAGTGCAATGAGAAGCGTTGGATGCAGTGGTGTAAAGCACATCGCCACTGGACTCTAGAGCAGTGGAGTAGTGTTCTCTGGGGTGACAAATAATTCTCCTTTGTCTGGCAAACCGATGGACATGTCTGGGTTTGGCTGTTGCCAGGAGAACAGCACTTGCCTGACTTTATTGTGCCAAGTGTAAAGTTTGGTGGAGGGGGGAATATGGTGTGCGGTTGTTTTTCAGGGTTTGGGTTTGGTCCCTTAGTTCCAATGAAGGAAACTCTTAATTTTTCAGCATTCCAAGATATTTTGGACAATATCATGCTCCCAACTTTGTGGGAACAGTTTGGGGATGGCCCCTTCCTGTTCCAACATGACTGCACACCAGTGCACAAAGCAAGGTCCATAAAGACATGGAGGAGCAGGTTTGGAGTGGAGGAACTTGACTGTCCTGCACAGAGTCCTGACTTCATCCCCATAGAACACCTTTGGGATGAATTAGAGTGGAGACTGCGAGCCAGGCCTTCTCGTCCGACATCACTGCCTGACCTCACAAATGCGCTTCTGGAAGAATGGTCAAGCATTCCGATAGACATACTCCTAAACCTTGTGGACGGCCTTCCCAGAAGAGTTGAAGCTGTTATAGCTGCAAAGGGTGGGCCAACTCAATATTGAACCCTATGGACTAAGACTGGGATGCCATTAAAGTTCATGTGTGTGTAAAGGCAGGCATCCCAATACTTTTGGCAATATAGTGTATGTGCCCTGTTAGCCAATGTGAGGGCATTGCCTACACTGACACCCACAGGCAGCACAAAAGAACAGCTTTGGGACCTGCTGTCAATCACTTCACTTGTAGGCAGAAGAGGGGCATACCTTCTGTTTGCAGATAGGTAAGTCTTTTGTTTGCTGTCCTCTTGAGCTGCCTGTGCATGTTGGTGCAGGAATCTTCTTCATGTAGGGCTGTAGTCCTCTACTGGGGAGCACACACAAATAGATAGCTCTAGCAGGGATCCATAGAACTCTGCAAGTCAAGAAGCCACCCTTACAATAGAAGGTTGAGACTGTATGAAACGAGAGAATAGAAAGTCTGCTGAAGAACTAAAAGATAATGTAACTCAAGCCCTTAGCATATTAAATGGCAAAAATAAAAAAAATTGGTTTAATATCACTTTAGCTCCAAAGAATCTTTAATAATAACTTTTTGTGTTCTCCCAAGCAGGTGGCAAGCATTGACACTACCGAATGGTGAAATATCAATGGGCAGAGCAGGAATACTAAAAACTGCTGCAGATATACTAAGGCACCTCTATGTGTCTGCAATTTATACCTGACAGCAGCTTTTTTTTTCCTTGCTGTTAAATTATAAAAATTATTTTCACTTTTGTGTTTTAATAGCAAAATCGATTCAAAGATTTTAGAACTGTTTAGAACATGGTTTAGCAATTCTCTGAATAAAGGAGGATCAGAATTCTCATTTAAAGCACATGCTAAACAATCTTCTTCTCTGATCCTATAGCTCTGTCCTACTTCGGACTATCGGCTTTGCCTTGTGGCTATTTGCAGCTTGCTGTAGTCCACATCCAATGTTTCCTATGAGAAATGATGAGGGAATGGGCTTTTCAGTTCTGCTCCCAACAATAATTAGACCTATTATATTTTCTTCTGTTACGAAAATTGCTGCCAGGTACAATGAAAATTGGACATTAATTGCCGTTTATTTCTGATTTCACTGCCAGGTTTTCATTTGGACATTTAATTCATGAGAAATGACGGCACCTAGTCCCAGGGAAGGCTGCCTAGATCCTATTTCAAGCGCCTACAAAGAGACACAGTTTATGTTTCTGGAATATTAATAAATGATTACAACTAACGTATTTAATAATAGTTGGATAGGACAATGAGCTAGATACTATGAAAAAAATGAAAAGATCTTTACACAATTTAGTGTTTGAAATACATACACAAAAAGCTAATTTCCAGGCAAACGGTCAAATACACAGTTGAGATATATAAGGGAACGGTCTTATCTGCCAAAAGATTTCTATATGAGATTAACACAACCCCCTCACACAGCATTACAGTTAAAGGGTAACTTCACTTTTGTTGAAAAAAAAAGCATTCCTCTCTGGGTGATCTGTGTACATTGTAAGGATTTTAGTAAGCTGTGTGAAGATTCCTACATTTTGTTATTCTGGAGAAATAGCTGTTTGTTTGTCTGTGTCCATTTGCAAAATGAATCTGCATGGGAGTGGTTTCATAATTATCAGTTGCTGCACATGCAGGGCTCTAATCAGGAAAGTGGCAGGGTCTGCATCCCTTTAGACATGGTTTCCCTTTAAGAGTATTTCACCAAAAATTATATTTTTGTTGCAGGGGATGCCAAAAAACTGACTCGTATCTTGTGCAGTGAGCCAATCACACAAGCAGGGAATTACATTTTTAGGGGGCGTTGTGTACACCATCTGTGTACAGAATGCCTCCAGGTAGCCGTATTGCATTGCATTTTTGTCAAGGTCCTACCTTTTCCCAGAGGTTATGTTACTCCATGTGCTGGCATCCATCTTGGATTTCTGCAGAGCATGGTGGGAATCTTTTATGCCTTCAGGTCTCTGAGGTCCATCCCCAGAGGGGTGTGGTTGATCACATATAAGCCTGTGGTCCGCACATGCTCTTTGCACTTGTGCCTTGTGTCTTTGTGTCACTACAACTCTGTTCTGACTCTCGTGACTCTCCTGGAATCTGACTTGTCTTGTGACTCGACCATTCTTTGTGTTATCCTTTGATCTGACCCTCCGTTGCTGAACCCGGCCCGTGACCTGTGATTCTCGTCTGCTGTGCTGTACCGTTTTGTCCCGTTGTTGTTGACCCGGCCTGCCCGACCACTCTATCGTCCTTTCCACCAGCTACACGCCATTGGTGGCGGCCATTACCGCAACTGGGGTGTCTCGGGGGCTGCGACCTGGTTCCTGGCTGCGTCAAGTCCATCCCCACCATCAGGGGCCCAGGTGAAGGGCAGCCTGGGACTTAGACTCCGCGCCCTGAGGGACTTCGGTCTGTGGGGGGTGGTTGTCGTCAGCCAGTGCGTTACATTGTTAATAGGCCTGCCTGCCCATTCCAGCATTCCTGTCCTGACAATTTTACAGAGAATTACAACACTGCAGATTGAAAAGGAAAGGTACATTTTCAATAACATTTAATTACAATGTGACATGAGTCGCAATTCTATATGCTATGTTATTTTTTTTTGGTTGCTATTTTTTTTTTTCACATGAAAGTGGAGATACCCTTTAAGGAATTGGTGTCTTTCATTACCTTCTAAGTAGTGAAGGAGCAGCAGCAGATGGATAAGGTCATCCCTCTGCTCAGACTGTTCTCTTTTCCTATCAGCATGTTCCTTGTCAAGACATTTGCATGCAGCACACCTGATTGGCTCTTAGTCCTGCCCTGTCTGAGTGTTGTTGTATAGAGCAGTGTTTCTCAACCTTTTTTCAATTAAGACACCCTTTAAAATTCTGGACAGTGTTGAGGCACCCCATTCTAAAATGTGAAAAACTATTCTAATAGTTTTATATAACGCAGCAACGTCCACACATGTAGGACACCCAACATTACAGGGGATTTATTCTTCCAAAGTAAATACACTTTTGCACACTGGTACTGACTAGTATTCCATTGTTTCTCTTCTCCCTCAGTTTTTCTCCGTCACTGAGCTAATGTGATCCAAGCACTGATGGGGAGGGGCAGTGGAGGGTCAAACTAGGATGCTGTGCAGACAGCTGACATCCTCTTTACCAACAGATGATGTCATTGGTTATCAGGACGGTGGTGGCTAGAAGGTTCTAATGGCGTACAATGAAAACCTGTGGCTTTGTGTAACTAAAAGGTGGGCTTATTCCATCCACTGGCTTGTATACAATTTTTGGGAAATTTTTAGACATTTTGCCAAGGCACCCCTGAAGAAACCTCGAGGCACCCCAGGGTGCATGGGCACCCTGATTGAGAAAGGCTGTTATAGAGGGTTGCAAGAAGTTAATGGAAATATCTGGTTGCGTTGTTTCATTTAACCACCTGATGGTAATGTGCTGAGAATGGGAGGCCTTTGTGGACAAAGCACCGTACGGGTACCCTGCTACCTACCTCTAGGCTTTGGCTATGCATGCGTGCCCCCTGCTGGTACCACAGCAATTCACAGCCGGGATCAGCTGTGTACAATTACAGCCCAGAGTTTTGTGTTGGTAAACACAGAGCTGTATACAGAGGGAGCAATCTCATCCCTGCAAAGCAGGGATGAGAAACTTAGAGATCGTTTAGTAAAAGCAGCACACTTTACACACATTATGCACACACTTAACCCTTTGATTGCCCTAGATGTTAACCCTTTTCTCAGCCAGTGTCATTAGCACAGCGATAGTGTATAGTATTATCAGTGTATTAATGTCACTGGTGATGTCAGTGGCAGTTTGTCAGTGTCAGTTAGAATGGGAGTGTAGTGGGCAATCTGACACTAAGTCGCTGATCGCCGCTATTAGTAGTATAAATAACAAAATTCCAGTATATACACCGTAGCTTGTAGGCATTACAACTTTCACGCAAGCCAATCAATATACACTTGTTGGGATTTTTCTTATCAACTGCATGTAGCAGAATACATTTTGGCCAAAATTTATGGAGAAATTTGATTTTTTTACATTTTTATTGGATATTTTTTATAGCGGAAAGTAAAACATATTTTTTTTTTTTTTTCCAAAATTTTTGGTATTTTTTTGTTAATATTGCACTGAATCAAGACCCAGTGGTAATCAAATACCACCAAAAGAAAACTCTGTTTGTGTGAATTTGGGTACAGTGTTGCATGATTGTGCAAATACAAGTACCAGTTTGAGTAGCACAGTGTGGTATAGCAAAATATGGCCTGATCATGAAAGGGGTAAAACCTTCCAGAGCTGAAGTGGTTAATAACCATTTACTGTACATTTAAGGGTCTATTTTTTTTAAAAAATCTTTATCTGAATGTTTCATGCATTTGCTCAGCTTTTAAAAATAATTCCCTATTTTGCTTAATATGTTTACTT